GCAGTCGCAGTCGCAGAAGCAGTAGCAGTAGCAGTAGCAGTAGCAGCAGCAGTAGTAGTAGTCGTCGTCGTCGTAGTAGTAGTAGTAGTAGCAGGAGCAGGAGTGCTCTTGGTGCAACTCATCACTGATACCGTACCCATGTGATGATTACGTGATGGTGGCGATGATCACGGCGATCAAGGTGGTACTCACGGCGGAGGGTGGGGTGTCGGGGTGCTGCGGGTGCTTGGCGTGCTTGGGGTGCTTGGGGTGCTTGGGGTGCTTGGGGTGCTTGGGTGCTGAGCGCGGGTGCTGGTAGAGGCGGTGACGATGACGATGACCATGACGATGTCGATCATGACGATGATGACGACGACAATGGCGATGATTATGATGATGGCAGCCCGCTTTTGGGGCTGGGCGCGTAGCTGGTGCCGCAGGGCAGAACCGAAGATTCTACGTCTTGAGCTCTGCACGAATCGGCTCAACGTAGATGTGCCGCTCATCGCTGGCATCCACAACAGGAAACCTCGCTTCGCTTCTAACTGAAAACCCCCCAAGAGGCGCGGCAGAGCTGTGAAGGCCGAGCTTAGAGCCGCTGGCGGGGATCCTCCGGGAGTGCAAAGTCGAAGGCACCCGGCACGCAGGTGGGCTGCAGACCTCGGGGGACTTCCCCAGGCTTCCTGCTCTGCGCAGCGGCCCTTGGGGTCCCGGCTGTAGTCCTGCTCCAGAACAGCCAGCTCCGCAACGGGAAGGAATGGATTCACGAAGCACAGGTGTTCATGATCCTGTGAGAACAGGGAGCAGAAGTCCATGTTCTGGGGTACACTTTCCAACACCAATCGTAGGATCTGTTGAGGTGGTGCCTTCTCTGTTTACCGGCACAACTCGGGGTGCTTGGGGATTTCGATTGGCACAGAAGGATGCTAGCAACTAACACAGGCCATTCTCAGCAGCAAGGACACGGCGATTTCAGATTTCTGTGCGAGGTGTGCGCTGGGGGCAACCCTACTCAAAATGCAGGGAACCTTTTCCTTTTCTTGCAGATGCTGGTAGACGCCATCCCCGAAAGGACCCTTTCGGACCTGCTTGAACCCAAGAGCCGAGGCTCCCGGCGCGCTCTAACGCCACGGCCAATTCGCTCCAGCGCTCGCCGAAGGTCTGGCCATGAACGGTATGCCAGCCTCTGGCCGGAAACGAAACATGCCGCCGAGTGAGGTAGAGGGCAGGGTACACGGGACAGCGTGTGTCAGAGACCCTCGAATCGAGTCGCATCCGTGAGTTCAAGGGTCATTTGCCGGCCTTCCTCCTGCCGAAGAGCCATGATGCCGATGAGCACGCACGCTCCATTCAAGCGAGGTCACCAAAGATGTGCTTCAGATTAGTTTCTGAGGGTTCCTCTGTGCTGGGACATCATGCTGCCTGTGGCTCTGTCGTTCCGTACTTACGCTGCACATTGAATTCTCTGCATCCGCAGCCCATGCGAGCGATCCATGATACATTCAACATGCCCCGAAGCTGCCCTGTATGCATGTGTCAAGACCTCACAAAGTCACACCGCAGAGCTGCATCCGGCGTGTGCTCGCACGGTTTTCGTTCCAACTATCTCGTCGCAGATGCAGCCTCAGATTCCTCCTCTTCCTCTTCGCCCTCTTCCCCGTCTTCGCCCTCCTCCTCCTCTTCTTCGTCCTCAGCATCCTCATCCTCTTCGACTTCCAAGGAGTCTTCAGACAGCTGCGCGAGGATGTCGAGCACATCTTCGCTCTCCCGCCTCCCGGACGACGCTTGCAGCAAATCCTGCGTGTCCGTCGGCACAATTGGCTTCGCAGGAGCCGGAGCCTGCGCGGAACTGCCATGCCCGCTTGGCTTCGCAGGAGCCGGAGCCTGCGCGGAACTGCCATGCCCGCGTGGATCTTGGGTTATGACGAGCCTCGCATCTGGAGTGCCTGTGCCTTCAATATCGGAATCCGAGCTTGATTCAGTTGCCGGTTGCACGGAAGCTGCTAGTTGCTGTAGCTCTCGCAACATGTCCTCCTCTTTGTCGATGGGCGAACTCTCTGCTTTCGATGGAATTTCCAAGGTGACAGAGGCAGGAGTGTCTACGTTGACATCCAGACTGACGATGCCCCGCAGATCGTCCGCAGCGTCCTCTTCTTTGAAGGACGTGCCACGGTCACCGCGGTGCAAAGACAGGGCGGGCAGATCCGATGGCTGCATGCTCGCTACAGGGACAGGGTCCGCTCGCCCGAGGTCAGAAACGAAGACGTCGGAGCTAGTGGTCCTGGGCTCCACCACGGAGGCTCTCAAACGGCCTCTCGAGGGCAGCTTCCGCCTTGGAGGGGAAGCCAGGACCTCCCTGAAGCCGTCCCTGAAGCCTTCGTCCCTTCCTTCCCTGAAGCCTTCCTTCACATCGCTGTTCAGGCAAAAGGTCGGGGCCACGGCCGCCGGCAGCTCCCGAGGCTCCCGAGGCCTGGCCCGAGGCTTTGCTCGAGCGGGCCATGCGGGCCGAGCAGGCCGAGCGGGCCGCTTCGGTGAAACCTCCGATGGAATGCAGATCTGCGCATCGCGCTCCCCGAAGCCTGGCTGAAACTTGCTACAATGATGGACGTGGAGATGGAGATGGGGAGCAGCAGGGGAGGAGGCCAGGGGAGTGAGAGACAACAAAAACATGCAGTCTCACCGGCCACCTATCAACATCCCATTCCCTGTCGCGAAACTACTACTTCGAGGATACCCACCTAAGTCTCCCAGGAGCCCCAAGGACAGCTGACTTGGAAAAGGCTGAGGCGGTTGTGGCTGTGCCTGAGACCGCTGAAGGTCGCGCCTGAGGACTGGAGAGGCTAAGCTTTCCTCGTTCGGGCTGCGTCCGCCGGCTTCTAGGAAATTTAGGGTTTAGGGTTCAGGGTTTAGGGTTTAGGAAGCATGCAGTCAAGTCTTTTGAGGGGCGATTTGCAAGCGATGCTTGCAACGTTTGGACATCACACCAACCCTCCAACTCTTGCTTCCCTCCCTTGCGGCCCGGGCTGGCGAGTTTCCGGCCTGGCGACGGCCGAAGCTCCGCACGTCAAGTTCGGAATCGGAACCAACAAAAACCTGCTTATTGCTACGGTTGTTGATGCCAACATCGAGATGAGTACTGGTATTCGAACCGGCACAGGAAAAGATGATAAGATAGTGCATGTCACTACGATGCGCAGGCTGATTTGAATTAGGTTTATGTCTATGTTCTTTCTGTCATGACTCTCCGTACTTGTTCCTGCCGTTCCTACGAAAACTTCTCTCGAGATTCCTACCGCTGTTAATACTTGTTGAAGGTGCATCGATTTGGCGTGCACCTTTGCACTTTCCCACGGCTCGAAGCCGCGTGCAACTGTCGGAGGAGAACCTGGTGTTGCCTCCCCCTCCTCCGCCTATAGAATCCTGCTCCTTCATTACTTCAGAAAGTTCTGCCCGGGCACCGATGCAAGCTCCGGGGGCAGCATCCGTCGAAAGCGCTTGGCGACCTCAGGCTTGGCATCTGTGTGAGGATGCAGAAGGAACTGGCCCAGGCATACGCATAGGGCTAGTCAGTAGAAAAAAAGACAGAGGCAGGGACAGGGAGACAGAGAGAGAGCGCGAGAAGACAGAATCAGGAAGACACGTAAAAGGCGGGAGAGAAGAGAACGGGGAGAGGGGTGTTTGAGAGAGAGGAGAAAGAAAGGCCAAGATGGAGACTGAGCTGAGCCAGCTGAGCATAGCACAGAGGTCGGCCGGCCCTGATGCAGAATCACCCAACCTTGCATGGGAGAATCAAGCTCGACGTGGATCAATGGCCTTGCAAAAAAAAAATCGTACAGCTCCGAGGAACCGTGGCGATTTCGGGTACACCCGGCTCGGCGAGCCTTCAAACCAAGGAGGCCCACAAGTGCACTCTGGATTCGCCGCTGGATGCGATGTCGTAACGCGCTCGCGCCTTCTGCAGCGAGGTGTGTCGGTTGATCTTCCTGACAGGCCGGCGTATGTGCCAACTAGCGACCTTGCAGAAATGAACACCTTGCAAATGGCGGACGGGAAAAACCCTGGGCGCCCGTCCTTTCAACCTCCGACAGCTCGTGCTGCAAGGCACAAAGCTTGTCCCAGAAAGTCTGGTGGCCTGCATTGGGCACAGGGACCCCGTGGGAAGGCACGTGTCGTTTAGGCGCATGGCCCATGTCTTTTCTCAGCCAGGCTCTTGCGACAGCTTGTCGTACTACACTCGCAGGCTCAAAAGGTACGGTTGCAGTGAAATCGCCTGCCGTTGCCCTGCGATACAGCACTGAATTAGTGTCAAAGCCGACATACTGTACAGTCTGGTAAAATGTGGCCAGATGGCCTAATGGTCGATTAGCGGTACTGAGACAGCTCTTGTGGCTCAGCAAATGCTACCAAAGTGGTCATCATGAAGAATTTCATAGTTGCTCTGGCCCTGATAGCGGCGGCTCATGCTGATAAGGTCATTCTCTTCGTAGCAGCCAAATTTGTGCCCCCCTTTGAAATGACACTGGATCTCACAAACCTCGTCACAATGCTCATGGGCTGTCTGCGAGCCATAGTTGTGGCTGTAATCTCCAGCAGCGTACAGCTGGGTCTTGCCACTGCTTGACCGTGAGCACATGCAACACGTCTCGCCCGGAGCTCCATGTCCCCAGCCAAAATTGTTGCTAGGGCCCCATTGGCTGGAAGGAGGGTTTTGGTTGCCGCCACCCCAGCCACCACCGTTGCTCTGACCGCCACCTCCGTTCCAGCCGCCATTGTTTCCACCGCCGTTCCAGCCGCCATTGTTTCCACCGCCGTTGTTGCCACCTCCATTCCATCCACCATTGTTGCCACCTCCGTTGTGGCCGCCTCCATTCCATCCACCATTGTTGCCACCTCCGTTGTGGCCGCCTCCAGTCCAACCACCATTGTTGCCACCTCCGTTGTGGCCGCCTCCAGTCCAACCACCATTGTTGCCACCTCCATTCCATCCACCATTGTTGCCACCTCCGTTGTGGCCGCCTCCAGTCCAACCACCATTGTTGTTGCCACCTCCATTCCATCCACCATTGTTGCCACCTCCGTTGTGGCCGCCTCCAGTCCAACCACCATTATTGTTGCCACCTCCGTTGTTGCCGCCTCCGTTCCAACCACCGTTATTGTTGCCACCTCCATTCCATCCACCATTGTTGCCACCTCCGTTGCTGCCACCTCCGTTGTTGCCACCTCCAGTCCATCCACCAGTATTACCACCAGTGTTCCCGCCTCCATTCCAGTCCCAACCATTCCTGAGATTTGTCTTTGTTTCGCTTCCTTCTGTGGCTACTTTCTCAGTCACAGGCTTGCTGCTGTTGCTTGCTGCAATGCTGGCGTTGGAGGCAGCTTCTGGCGTTTGCAGAGGCTTTGGCACGAGCATCTCTGACACCTTCGGATCCTCTGCAAAGCAGAGGCCGAAAGCGGCAACCACGATCAGCCTCTGCATGGCACGGACCTGTGGCGCTGCTCAGCCGCGTGGTTGCAGCTTGAGGTGGAAAGGGCAGCTTGAGGTGGAAAGGGCAGCTGATGTGTCAACGGTCTCAGCATTCCGTCGTGCCGTAAGCTCTGTGAGCCTTCAGCTTCATCCTCAGATCTGCCCAGGTGTAATGCCTCCAGAGTGAAATGTGATACCAGTGCCGGGATTAGCATTAATACTGCTGCTGAAAGTCATCACGCTTGCTGGAAACCTTCTCAGCATGAGTAGTCTTGCTATTCTGGCTGTGGTTGATACTGTTGTTGCCAGTGTTCTCAGTATTAGCTTATTATCATCATGTACTCGACGACGACAACGACTCGAGTTACTGCTGCGCTTGCTTGCTGCTACAACTGCTACTGTTTTTGACATGACAGTTGCTACGATTAATTACGGCAATACCCCCAGGTTCAACGATTACAAATACCTGGGTTGCAGTCTCACTCTAGCATCAGCTATGATTGTCCCCGGGCTTAGGTTGTACTTTCAACATTCCGCTGGGTTCACAAGGCGCCCAGATCCTAAATCCCCTAAGCCCCTAAGCGCAGAGCCTCGGAGGAGTCGGAAGCATTTGCCGAGTCCTCGAGGTGGGAAGGAATCTCTTCCACAGCCTCGTGGCAGGCAAACATATCACAGACCTGGTAGAGACTGCGAAGAACGCTCCCGAAGAGATAAGACGCCCCAAGGAAGCCTTGTAACTCGTCGCCTTGATTAGTGGACTAGTCGCAACCATCATTCTTACAGCAGGCTTCACAAAACTAGCATGAAGAAGGGTGCTCTATACTCTCGTTCACACAGTTCTCAGAGGTAGAATTGCCAGCATTACAATTGTCTTGTTATGCAAGTAGTGACAAAGGGATCCCTCGAACTTTCGGGACGGAACGGTCTGCCTGCAACCTTGTTGCCGAGAAAACTGTTTCTCTCGTCTGATGCCGGTACAGCACTGACTGTTATGGTGTTCGGTGTGATCATCATCGTCATCTTACTGCTGGGAATGTCGGCACGATGATGGGGTTCCTTCTGCTGCAGCAGCAGTAGTGGTAGCGGTAGTAGCAGCAGCAGCAGCAGGAGGAGTAGTAGTAGTAGCAGTAGTAGTAGTAGTAGTAGTAGTAGTAGTAGTTGTAGTGGTAGTGGTAGTAGTAGTAGTAGTAGTAGCAGTAGTAGTAGTAGTAGTAGTAGTAGCAGCAGCAGCAGTAGTAATTGTTGTTGTTGTTGTTCTTGTTGTTGTTGTTCTTGTTGTTGTTGTTGTTATTGTTGTTGTTGTCGTTGTAGTTGTTGTCGTTGTTGGTGCTGTATAGTAGTGGCAGTGCTAGTCGAAGTAGGACGACATGGAGGCGGAGGAGGAGGAGGAGGAGCAGCAGAAGCAGCAGTGGCACTTTATTCATAGCAGTATTGTAGCCGCAGCAGTAGTCGCGGTAACTGTGCACCACACGCCGGCCGAGAAGCTAGTTTCAGAACGACTGCCCCTCTCCTGCAAAGCGCAAGTTAAAAAGGAGAAACCACTGCCTCTAGAACACCACGCGGAGCACACATTCCAAGTACAAGCCTAGAATTGCCAAGCATCAGAGTCGTGAGCGAAGGCTGCCGCATCAAGGGAGGATGATCCGGAAATGGACCTTCAACACATAACGGGTTTGCAAATCCTGCAAACGGAGCCACCGGTGAGAATGCCAGGCAAGTGCTCAGAGGATGTGGAGTACCGAAACGTTGGGATTTCACATGCAAGTCATGGGCTGAGCCTCACAAAGGCATAAAAGCCATCAGCACTGAGACAAGTTCATGCCACTGCCATAGAAAGGATCCTCCCCTGCATCCAACCGCTCAGCTGCCGGCGGGCTGGGTGGCAAGGACATCCCAGCAAAGGCTTGGGGTGCCGTTGCTTTTGAATATCGATGTTGCGTTTCACGGGGTCTCGGGACCATGAAGAGTATGTTCGGGCAGACGTCACTGGATCGATCGATGGACTGGTGGTGTGTTGTGTTCCAGGGCTGGCTGGAGTGCCCAGGCTTTTTACGCAATGGCCAAAGAGCATCAAGAACACGTCTTTCTGCCGATTCTACAAATAAACACCCCACGCACACCGCGAGTACTGAACTTCAAGCACGACATCCTCGCCGACAGCATGCGATGTTTTCAGGTGTCAGCAAGTCTCACCCCAAGCTGCCAGGATGGCAGCACGAATTAGAGGACGATGGCCAGATCGATTGCAAGTTATGTCATGCGTGGCTTTTATGTCCTGCTTCCTATGAGCCATCTGAAACAATGCAGGTTGCTGGCAACGCACAGCTGGGGCCGTTGATCCTCACAGCCGAATTGGTGCACCAGGACTTTGCACGCTTGAGCGAGCTGTCCATAAACTCTTAAGGATACATGGCATGGGCCAGCCTACGGGCCTACGGGATCAAGGCAAACGTGCCAGAGCACTCTGCGCATTTGGAGCTTCGCCCGGCAGATGCAAGAATGCACATGAGGCCGCAGCCTTCTCTTTCTCGGCGAGCTCTTGGCGAGCTTCCTGCAGGCGGGTGCAAGTCGCTTTGCCTCTCTTACTTTCTCTCTCTTTCCCGAATGGTTGCAGAGGTGCCTCCAGCTGGCAGAGGGTCCGATTCAGCCAACTGCTCACCAAACCAAGTCGCTGCAGGGACTGCTCAAAGCCTGCAGGGAGCTGACAACAACAGCTGTGACTGTGATATGTTAGCTGAGCCTTCATCCAGCTCAGCACCATCATCTTGGACCACGGAGATGTTTGCCACCTGAAAACTCAAGCAGCCGTAATGGGTTCCCCTGGCTCAATTCCATGCCGTGATTGGAAAGCAAAGATCTTCTTGTCGGGCAAAAGAGCCGCAGGACATTTCTGCCGGAAACGATGGATGCTATGTTGGTGCAAGGAAAGGAGATTTCTAGAATCCCCTGAAAGCCACGAAGTGTACATGGCCTATATGGCTGGAATTCTGCTTGATGCCGCCCCGATTTGCAACCGTGTCCCGTTTGGGCCTCCTCGGAGAGGTTGTGAAGCAGCTCCTGTGGAGCACAGTATGATGTCAGGCTCCGAAAACTGCAGCCGTGAGTCACTACTCCCTTTCAGTGCAGCAGAACAAGGTGCTTGACATGAAGAACCAAAGTGGCTCTCAGTGTTGTGTCGGAAGGTGCTGGCTGTTACATTGCCTGGACAAAAACCTGCAGCGATCCTCCTGAGACCGGGGTTGCCATTCGGATACCAGCATGTCAACCTTTGCTTCGACGGTATCCAGAAAGCTGAGACGTTCCTAGGTCCCAGGAAGTGGAATGCGCCGTTGCAATGAGAGCAGACCTGGATGCCGGATGCCGAGGCCAAGACACTCGAGGCTGCAAGCTCCGACTCCAGCTGCGAACAGCGGGCTTCCAAGGCCAGCTCCTCACGATCACGCTGCGCCGGAGGCCGAGCCCCGGCATACCGCAGAACCGACGTGTTCTTTGTTCTTTGAGTCCTCATCTGAGAGGATGCCCGCAATCTCTGAAGCCGGGACAGCAGGCTGCCGCAGTGCTTTGAGGACGCAGCTCCTCAGAGGCTGCCCCGCGGCCCCGCCCCGCTTCACTGCGACTTCTGAGAGTCACTTGCCGGCCTCTCCGCTCGGCGGCAGATGTGCTTCAAAGCCCGCGCCACCCCCTGAAAGAAAAGTGGCGGAACAGCACTGGCAAGTGGAAAAATGTATGAAGCTATGACAACAGTGTGAATCGGTACTAGTAACTTACTAGTAATGGCGATGGCACAGGACATGGCATTGCCAACAGTAGTACATATGAGTTCATTTGCGAACAATGAAACAACTTCTGCTCAAATATCAACAGCGACAAGCAGCAGTAGCAGTTCTAGCAAGATCCGTCAGCAGCAGTAGTAGTAGTAGTAGTCGTCGTCGTCGTCGTCGCAGCAGTATCAGCAGTAGTAGTGGTAGCAGTAGCAGCAGCAGCTGTAGCAGCAGTAGTAGTAGTAGTAGTAGTAGTAGCAGTAGCAGCAGCAGTAGTAGTAGTAGCCGT